CTAACACAAAAATCACCCATAAAAAGGTCATGTGTGGCCGACCTCAAGCAGTTGTCCCTTGGGCACTGTGGTCATGCTCCCAAGTCACTAAGACCACCTCTAATCCAATTTCCTTTCCAGGTACCTCCACGGTGTGAGCAACCGGGAAGTGATAACCGCCCTCATACCTCTGACAGCACTCAAGAACACTGTATTCCTAATCAACCTCAGTCTTCACTTCCTATTACTCCACCTACATCGACTTTCACCTCTAAACTTCCTTTTTCGGCTTTCTCCTCAAATGTCACCATAGCCAACGATTCTAGTGCTCAAAACACTGTTCCAGGTCTACTGAAACCTCGCTCCAAACTACACATTGGAGCCTTCAATGTACGCACCCTATGTCAAATCGGTCAACAGGCTTCCTTGGCTAGAACCCTAGAATCTCGTGCCATTGATGTATGCTGTGTCTCTGAAACACGCATACAGGATCCCAGTGTGGTCATTCACTTGACCTCACCTCGGCAACACGGAGAGCCAACGAGATACACCCTTCGTGTATCTGGTGACCTGCCGGCCAGCTCTCGTGGACTGGCAGGAGTAGGGATAGCACTAAGCATGAGGGCGGAACAAGCATTGTTAGGGTGGATCCCCGTTAACAGTCGTTTATGTCCTGTTCGGCTAAACGGCTCCGTAAGAACTCGGAAGGATAGGGACACACGTCGTTGCCTTTTTGTCGTTTCTGCCTACGCTCTCACCGACTGCAGCTCAGATGAAGTGAAAGATGAATTTTACAGAAAGCTAAACGTTCAGACGTAGTACTCGTAGCAGGTGACTTTAATGCTCAAGTAGGTAGCTTAAGCCAAACAGAAAGGCATTTAGGTGGGTATTTTAGTATTCCGGCACAACGAACAGATAATGGTGATCATCTGCTGCAACTGTGCTCAGACAATCGTTTATTTTTAGCAAACACAAATTTTAAGCATAAGGAGAGACATCGTCTAACATGGCGACCCCCTACACCAAACTAACGATGGACTCAAATAGACCATATTGCCATCAGTCATGGTTGGAGAGGGTCGGTAGAAGATTGTCGCTCATTCTGGAGTACCTGCTTGGACTCCGACCATACCCTAATACGGGCACGCATCTGCCTGCGCCTCACTGGACGCAAAAAAGCCACAGTACAAAGACCCATTAGAACTAAATTGAGTAGCGAGAAAACCAAAAGTAGGTTCCAGGAACAACTGAGGTCACAATTAGGTAGTTCTGAAAACGAGGTTGACTCAGATGTTGCTAGGAAAGCTATACAAACAGCAGTGACATCTATCACTGATTTGAACCACAGGGTTACAAAGAACCAATGGATTTCCTCAAGGTCTATTGCACTGATGGGTTCCCGTAAACTCATCCCATCAGGCTCTGAACACGATGGAGAGCGAAAACAAATCAGATCTAGGTTAACCAAAAGTCTAAGGAACGACCGTGAGCAGTGGTGGACAACGAAAGCAAAAGAGATGGAAAAGGCGGTGGCTATAGGGAACACAAGACAGCTCTACAGACTAATAAAAGAAACTGGAATTAATAAATCAAGTGTAAGTCAGACTATTTCGGAAAAAGACGACACCCTCATCTGCTCTCAGTCCAGACGTTTAGAACGATGGGCGGAACATTTCAGAGAACAGTTCAGCTGGCCTTCAGCTACTCTACAACTACTCTCCATTCCCAGACAGCCTGAATGGAACATTGAAGTAGGTCCCCCAACTCTAGCAGAAGTTCAAAAGGCTATAGTTAATCTGAAGCGAGGAAGGGCAGCTGGTCCAGATCGACTGGCTCCAGAGGTCTTTAAGGATGGTGGTTCAATTTTAGCGATTAGGTTGACTAATATTTTAAATAAGATCTGGGAGTTAGACGTTATCCCATCTAACTGGTCACAATCACTTATCGTCCCAATATATAAGAGAGGGTTAAAATCGTCCTGTGACAATCATAGAGGGATTAGTTTAACTAATATCGTATCTAAAATACTAGCCTCGATAATTATCGGACACTTAACTAGGACTCGTGAACTGCAAACACGAAGGAATCAAGCTGGCTTCAGACCTGGTCGTGGCTGCATCGACCACATATTCACCATTCGTCAGGTTCTAGAACACAGGCATACTTATCGGCGTCCGACAATGGTGGTCTTTCTTGACTTGAAAGCAGCATTTGATTCGGTAGACCGCGAGATTCTGTGGCAGTGTCTGTCATTGAAAGGCGTACCTCAGAAGTACATAAACCTTGTGAAGGCTCTTTACTCGAACACTACTAGTCGAGTCAGAGCTTATGGCGAACTGTCATCTGCTTTCGCAACCTCAAGTGGTGTCCGTCAAGGCTGTCCACTTTCTCCATTTTTGTTTAACTTCATCATAGATCTACTGATGGAAATAACACTCGTCGACTGAATTCTCGGGTATTGATCTCATACCAGGAGGTCTACTTACCGACTTAGAATACGCGGATGACATAGTCCTGTTTGGTGAAGAAGCTGATAAAATGCGGTCTCCTGGTAGCATTAAGCAATAATGCCAGAATGTTTGAAATGCGCTTCTCTCCCTCTAAATGCAAGTTGTTGCTTCAGGACTGGCCTGCGTCAACACCTGAACTAAGGATAGGGAGTGAAGTAGTCGAACGCGTCGACAACTTCACTTATCTTGGAAATCTGATCAGCCCTAATGGGTTGGCATCGGACGAAATCTCAGCACGGATTCGAAAAGCTCGCTTGGCTTTTGCCAACTTACGTCACCGATGGCGAAGGCGAGATATCCATCTATCAATAAAAGGAGGAGTATACTGCACGGCAGTCCGTTCTGTTTTACTTTATGGCAGCGAAACATGGCCATTAAGAGTAGAAGATACTCGTAAGCTATTAGTATTTGACCACAGATGCCTCAGAAATATTGTTCGCATCTGCTGGGATCACTGGATAAGTAATAGTGAGGTTAGACGCAGGGTATTAGGGAAGGATGGTAAATCAGTTGATGAGTTTGTCAATCTTCATCGACTGATGGTTGCGCCACGTGTTACGTATGCCTGAACACAGATTACCACAACGCCCAATGCTGACTAGTGTTGGCGATGGTTGGAAGAAAGTTAGGGGCGGCCAAACCAAAACGTGGCATCAGTGCTTGAAGTCACTAACTTGTAGTCTGAGCCATGTTGGTAGGTGCAGACTACTTGGTTGGGGTCCGCGTGACTTTCGTAACCAATGGTTGGAGACTCTTGTTGACATGGCTCAGAATCGATCACAATGGCGTCGGTGTATACAGTCTCTATCTTCCCTTAAACTAAGAGATTAAAATTGCTTCATATCTTTCTTTCTACGAACTAATTCTTTCTTCCTGTACTATATCCTTATGCACAATCTTTCTTTTATATATTACCACCTCTGAATTAACTACTTTCATGAATCCGGTGTCCATCTTGTTGTGTTAATGAAGTATGGCAACTTGGACCGATGCATAAATGGGCCTGGTCCTACGTTGTAGCTGACTGACTGACTGACAAGATATTATTATTAAGAAGATAGTAAAAACAATGAAGAATACTGCTAAATGGAATAAATATCTGTGAATGATAGTGGTCCAAGACTTCATATGTTGATTGGACAAATTAAAAAAGAATCCAATCAGTAATAAAGGACTATAAACATGATAATGATTATTGATCAGTGATCAATCCATTGTAAATATATCACTCATACAGGAGGTCAGTAAAGGTCCAAATGAATGATGAATGCGCGCGTGTATGTATACAAATTTATTTCTTTGTAAATCAGTCAATAACTTCTATTTTTTGATTACAAAAATAAGGACTTAGATAATAACATCACTCATTATTCAAACTATTCTTAAAGGTCGTTCATAATAATCACGATATGATATATTGATCAATATCAAATGTATAAACAACAAATCATAATAAAGCTCATCCAAAATCTTAGTTTTGTTCATTTTTCTACTGATCTAGTTTGATATAACTAACTTATAAACTATTCGACGAAGAGATTTTTCTACAATACAATCAGATAAATAATTTTGCTTGTAACTGTTATATCCCGATAAGAATAATGAATGGTAACTTTTGGGGTCCGTTTATGGACCAATACTATGAGTATATTTTTATCGTATAATTGTTATGTAACTAAACTGTCCATATTCATGTCCCTCTTATTATAAGCTTTAATTTGACACATAGACTATTACTATACGATTTACCATTCTTGAGTTATGGCCTGTCTATTAATTACTATCTCCCTTATTCACAGCCACTTTGTGCCAAATATTGTACACATGTTATTTTCTATTTTATGGTACGTTGTGGTCTGTTTGATTGGTATATAAGCCCCGTATGTTTGAAATAAATGATTCATACTGCAGAGGCTGAGATTGGTGTTCTGGACTCAACTGGTTGGGCCAGACAAGGAAGCAAGGCCAATCAGGACTCTAGGCTGATCACACGTGTTTATGTGTCACTGGTCCAATCGATAATTCGCTACTCTCTGATTGGCGGTATCGTTGCGTTACCCAATATACAGGGCACGCAGGTTCACAAGTTATAACAGTAACTAACGTAAAACGAATAATTTTTGAATTTAAGAGAGTATCAAGTAATCACTTCCATCATACCTAATAAGCTGGATATCGACAGTGTTTATTCTTGTGATTAAAACACGAATTTCAGCGAAGGGATCTCTTTTCAACGAATTTATTATCAAGCTGTACAATCGTATATATATGGAAATTTTGTTTTGGTACTAATTCCGTGAGGAAATATGAACACAGTTAATAAAAAAGGGTTATAATACTAGATTACGTAATATGAATAATAACAATAGATTTAGTGAATATAATAAGATGATTAAAATGTTTTTGTTATAATAGTTAAAGGTCATAGAGTTGTAGAAAATAAGGTGATATGATGAGTATTTACGAATAAAACAATCGGAATATAAGACATAAGTAAAGGGGGGAATGCAGTAATAATAATAATAATAATAATAATAATAATAATAATAATAATAATAATAATAGTAGGATAATCAAAATGCTTAAGGCCAGGGTAACGATAACGATAAGACGTACTTCTTTTGTACGCATAGTTCTGGTTTAAGCTCCTGGATGGTAAGAGCTTCGGCTATTTTTAAAAGTTGGGTGCGAAGAAATCTGGGTAGATTTGAACGAATCATATAAACAACCTTAAATTCATTTTTTGGATCTGTAGAATGGTTACAGTCGATTAGGTGTTCAAGTATAGAACTCCTAACTGCTTTCCTTTCCCCTTTATAGAACCAAGCTGGAATATGTTCCCGTATCCGAGTTGAAAGCGAGCGCTGGCTACGGCCAATGTACCTTGCTTCACAAGGGCAGGTGAACTGGTACATGCACATGGAGGCGACCAGACGCGGAAGCTTGTCTTTTATGGACACAGGAAATAAGTTCCTACTCGTGAAGGTTATTCGCAATTTAGCTGCATTAAACGTTCTTCTAATAGTTTTTGTTAGACGATTCTTGATTACGTCTAATGTTCGATCACCTTTAGATTCCAGACTTTTTTTTATTAACTGTGTTCATATTTCCTCACGGAATTAGTACTTTTAACAAAACAAAATTTTCATATATATACGATTGTACAGCTTGATAATAAATTCGTTGAAAAGAGATCCCTTCGCTGAAATTCGTATTCTTGTGATAACTAGTAACTAATTTGGAGATGGATTCTTTTGATAATAAAAAAAATAACAAAATTAATACACATTTTTCATTGACCTAATTTTTATAATGATATTTTTCTAATAGAGGTCGGTTGAAAAAGGAAAATGTAACGTAGGGATTATTTAAAATCTTTAAACTTTACTTGAGTCATATAGATTAGTTTGCAATTTTTGTTCATTCAATAATAATCCATAAGAGTTAAGCGCTGAAAACAAGAAAAACATAAAGAGAAATATAATGAATACTTATACTCAATTGAAGATAAATTAATTTTTCTGATAAAATCAAATCTTTTATACAATCTATATTTTAGATTAATTAAAAGTTGATTGATTTTAACTAAGTTATGATTATTGATATAAAAAAAGAATTTATAGCGTTGATCACTGTTTGATTGATAAGACATTGTAAAAATATAAATGACATTAAGTTCATAAGTTCAATATCAACAGACTGAAAAGGACACCTGATCAAGATGCTAAAGAAAGGCGATCTCAGCAAGTGTGATAACTACAGAGTCATCATTCTTCTCTTAACACCAGGAAAAGTCTTCAACAAAGTATTATTAAACAGAATGAAGGACTCCGTAGATGCCCAACTTCGAGACTAACAGGCAGGATTCCGTAGGGATAGATGTTGTACAGACCAAATCGCAACTCTACGGATCATTGTGAAACAATCACTTGAATGGAATTCACCACTCTACATCAACTTCATTGACTACGAGAAAACATTTGATAGACTGGACAGGAAAACACTATAGAAACTCCTTCGACACTACGGAGTGCCTGGGAAGATGGTCAATATCATACAGAATTTCTATGATGGATTAAACTGCAAAATCGTGCATGGAGGACAGTTGGCAAACTCGTTCGAGGTAAAGACCGGTGTCAGACAAAGTTGCTTACTCTCACCTTTTCTCTTTCTCCTGGTGATCGACTGGATCATGAAGACGTCAAAACCTGAAGGGATGCACGGGATACAGTGGACAGCTAGAATACAGCTGGACGCTCTAGACTTCGCAGATGATCTCGCTCTTCCATCGCACACGCAACAACAAATGCAGGAGAAGACGACCAGTGTAGCAGCAGCCTCAGCAGTAGGTCTCATTATACACAAAGGGAAAAGCAAGATTCTCCGATACAACACAGCATGCACCAATCCAATAACACTTGACGGAGAAGATTTGCAAGATGTAAACACCTTTACATATTTGGGCAGCATCATTGATGAACATGGTGGATCTGATGCAGATGTGTAGGCGCGGATCTGCAAAGCAAGGACAGCATATTTACAACTGAAGAACATCTGGAGCTCAAAGCAACTGTCAACCAACACCAAAGTCAGGATTTTCAATACAAATGTCAAAACAGTCCTACTGTATTGAGCGGAAACCTGGAGAACTACGAAAGCCATCATCCAGAAGATTTAGGTGATTATTAACAGTTGTCAACACAATATACTTCGGATCCGTTGGCCGGACACTACTAGCAACAACCTACTGTGGGAGAAGATAAACTAAATCCCAGCGGAGGAAGAAATCAGGAAGAAGCGCTGGAAGTAGATAGGACACACATTGAGGAAAGCACCCAACTGCGTCACCAGACAAGCACTCACTTGGAATCCCCACGACCAAAGGAGAGGAGGAAGACCAAAGAACACATTACGCCGGGAAATGGAGACAGATATGAGGAGAATGAACAACATTTGGATCGAACTAGAAATGAAGGACCAGGACAAAGTGGGTTGGAGAATACTGGTCGGCGGCCTATGCTCTATTAGGAGTAACAGACGTAAGTGAGTAAGTTTATGGCTACATGTTCAACTATTAATAATGATTACTGTCAGTATACCTTATTACAGTATACTATCGAACATGAGTAAATCTCTAACCAACTTCAAGAATTTGTTAGTCAGTAAGTATACCGGTTGATTTTCTTAAGTTCAACTACATAAAAATGATGAATTGTGAATGTATATAGAGTTTTCACATTGTTTACATATTCGGTAAATAAATGATGACAGAGAGAAAGAAAGTAGTAAGCTTCAGTTAGTATCAAAAGGATTTCGAATTATATGAATAGAGAACTGGACAGTTTGATATGACCTAGGTTGAAAAAGCAGTATTTATGTATAGGTGAATTGTAGCTGGAGTTATTTTAATTTCGGAATCGTAATTTCAACTGATTTTCATAATTACATAAGAGTTAAACCCAATACTGTCAATTCAATAAATAAATTGAAGGACTGATATGGACTTAAACTTCAAACGCACATTTGTATATAGACATGATGCTCACCGTGACTGGTTAGGTCCCGTGTCTCAGTGGACCGACTATTGTGAACCTATAACCTAAACATTATCTACTTCAAACCCTAGTATTTATTTGAATCCACGTACCATCTATTTTATTATCAAAATGTTCTATCAACTTTGGAGAGAACAAACGTAATTCATCTTCATTTTAATATCTTATGAGTAGCTTATCCTCACTCATAATGCAATTCATTTATCAAGTAACCAGCTTTGATCTGTACCGTTTCTATGTGTTTGTGATGTTTTTCGGTTGTTTAAACCCCAACAGATGTTATGAAGATGGGATATTCTATCTAAGAACCAAAAATAGAGTATTTTATAAAACCAGTCCACCTCCATAGTTTTCATGAATTTGTTTTCTTGATAGAAATTTAAAGATAAAGCAGATGTGTAGTGGAGATCAGCTTAATTTGCAAACTTTACTCATCACGGATGGGATACTAGTGAAAATCAAGAAATATTGAAATCCTTTTTCATCCTATGGAACCGTTTGGCTCATAGCTGTACACTCTTGGGTAGTCCCATGCTAGGATGAAACAGGTATTCGGTGATCCGATGGTACCCCAATCGGGACTATTCAGTTGCGCATATAAACTAATTATAGAATATGAGTGTATCAAATCTTGGGGGGAAATCGATGATTTGATGACATCAAAACTAGATCATGACTCCTTAAGCACACTAAACAATCTATAAACAGGATAATTATTAACAAATATATTATTAACTCTTTAATCAATGCTTAATTTATTTGGAACTATCAAGTCCAATCGCGGTACTGATACCTATAGACAGTAAAATTAATGCATAACCAGATTAAAGCAAAAGACTATTCTTTTTTCGGAATGGAAAAAAAATATTGTCAGAACGGGTTTGTGGAGATTGTAGTAATTTATTAGTTGAATTCGTGAGTTTATCTAAGCTAGACCAACGTTGAAAACCTGGAAGCACTGGACGGGTGTTTCATTCTATTGTGGGACTCGTCAGCAGTGCGCACCCACGAAATAAAAGATTAAAAAAATATGATATTTTAATCATAACAGTAAATATTCCTCACAAGTGTTTATTCTCTTTATTAAATTTTGTAATTCAATTTTAGATGTTGATATACACAGATAATCGTCTAAATAACGTAGAATAGTTGAACATTTATTTAAATGAATATCTGTTGTTTTAAACACATCATTTTGTAGGAATTTGTGAGGAGACCAAAGAATAGTTTGTGTTCTATGTAATTGACGATCCAAATGAGCTAAATAGATATTAGCCAAATCTGAACTAATACACGATCCTTGGGGAATACCTTTGATGAACGAATATAATTTTCCATCAATCTGTTAATAGATTTTGTTTAAAAAAGGTCAAAAATATATGTTTATTCATATATATAGTTATTAGTAGCGATTTGAATAAACCCGTTAGCTTTAGAAAGAGAAGTACTGGGTTCTAGTCTAGATCTGAATATCGCCACGGATTTTGGAACAACCAACTGAGGAGTCTTAAGTAAGAGGAAACGCATGTCGTGAATTTCACTGTGAGCCACAATATACCTATCCTATAGTACTCATAAAGAATAACGTTTTATTCTTATGATCCATTCCTACTTTTATTGCTGTGATTTTCGGTCTGTGATAGAATTGTCTTATCACATAAACACTTTTTATAATTTAGCGATGATGAACATTTTCCGTTAGCATACATTATACATGAACAGACTATTGAAAATCGAAATTACAATAAACAGGTATGATTTTGAAATTAATTTTGATCTATTGTTCGTGATTTGAGTTCAATATATGGCTTAATCTTTTACTGTCAAGTTCAAAATAAGGATGTAATAACTATCTAGGTGTTATAATCGAGGAAACTAGTGCTTGGAATAGGAAGACACTGAGATTTTGCACAACGTAGGGAACAAAACAAAACCTGATGGCAGATGAAGATTCTATTTTTTCTTCAAAAACACGACAACCACGATTATTATACAGATTCAGTTGTATACAGATTCTACTGACATTTGATCATTAGTCATAGAATATCATTTACAACTGAAATGATAGGAATCCAACTGGACTTCACTCCGAAGTTATACAACCATATGTAATAATGAGTGAATTTCACACTGAAATAATACAAACGATGGTAAACTAAATATATATCGCATTTATTTCAAACGTAATTTCGTTTCTTACACTGTCCTAATACTAGTAATTGCTGATAATCAATGAGTTTACACTAGCTAACATTAGTTCATGATGCCGTTTACCTTAAAAGATATGAAATTAACCATCAAAAATCTCAACTATTTCTGAAAGGAACAAATATACACATCAAATAACTTTATAAGAATTATTATTGTTAATACTAGCAATGAATCGGTTAAAACATACAGAAATGATGGATTCTTTTAAAAACCATTCCAATTCACGAACAAGGAAATGTATATTTGGTGTTGGATACATATAATTGCTGACCTTGAAAATGAAGGAAATGCATAAAGTACAGCGTCTTTTTATTATACTCCTAAATAATATAGTACTGTTCATACCAGGTATTTGTTCTAACAGGAAATAAACCAGATACTATCGAATAATGAACCCGTGTTAGAAAAAAAAAGTTGAACATAATCAAACACAGAATGTTTCTGTTATACGTATAGATATTTATTAGTAGGGTTTGCTAGACCTTTTTGAGTCGTTTATTTACCTATCAAAGGCCAAGTGTGCCTCATAGCAGTTTTTCATACTAATTTCTATGTGTAACACATGGCTTATGAGAAAATGTACAATCTGTTAGCTTTCCTATAGTAGACATAGAAACATAGTTAGCATATGATCAAACAAGCGATCGATGCTGATATTAAATGTAATGTATTAGAGAAAACTGATGAGTGTGACACCGCCTCGTAAAATGCTTTTAGTCCATAAAGTCAGTTCCTGATGGACTGAAGCATATAGGGACGTGTAAATGTCTAGACTGAGATTTAAACACAATGGTATTCCGTAATTGCAGACTTCAGGTGACAACAGAACAAATGCATTTAGTTATCTAAATCTTTGATTTCAATGTTAGTTCATGGTTATCATATTACGCTTTTAATTTACTCTCTATGTTTAGTTTGCCAGCACCATGGATATCATCATTATCATTAAAATCTAAATGAGTTTGTTTTTCATCCTGGTAAATTTTTCTGAAAATGTTAGTTTTCGAACAGAAACATATACATGTCAGATTCCATGTTGTTTACTAACTGATCAAAGAGACAAAAGACTATAAGGAAGCAAAAAAATATCATCAAGTATCGTTGTAGTCTGTTAATGTAGTGAATATTTTATATAATCTGACCGTAAACCGTACATAGAAACGAAGTAAACTAAAACAATATATTAGATTGTGAAAATATAAAATATAAAAAATTGTGAAATGTATGGTAGGAAAAAGAGTAATAGATTTGGATATCATGCATATAAAAATGTTCTGAAGAATACGAAATCAAGTTTAAGGTGAGAATAAGGTTTATGAATAGGATTATGTTCTCTTAGAATCATTCTCGATGTCTCTTCAACGATCGATTCCTTTGTATGAATAATTACGGAAAACAATGCTTATCTTATAACTATACTTATCAATAAGGTGCCATAATTCCAAATTAATATTACCAGATGAACTAAAACATTACTACATATTAAACTGTAATTCAAAACTGCTGCTTGCCATTTTACACTGAGTGTACTAGTGAATACAAATAGACACACATACAAAATGGGAAATAATTAGGAGATGTAACCAATAATTGTAAAATATATAACTAAAAAGCATCAAGACCAAATGGAATCTTAGACTTGGATAACTAAGTACAATTGACAGACAAACAAAATTATCTACTGCCAAAAAAAGGACAGTTATAAAAGTTCGTCAAAATAACCCTAAGAGATTTAAAAATGGTACAAAAGCATTTTTGAACTTCATGAAAGCTGTAACCTTAAAACTGCCTTGATAATGTTAACAATTCTTTCCGATTATTATTCTCAATAAAAATGTACATTATTTTAACCAATTATTACTCAACATTCAATATCACTTTAAACATTTTATAAATTTTCACTTACTTCATTTAATGTATCAGAGAAAACTTCTACTAATTTAGAATGAATAATTTGATTAAAAAAATCCAAAATATCTAATTTTGCAATCCAAAATCTACAAACACAAAAGAAATTAATATAGAAAACTATCAAACATCATGAGCATATTTCTACGTTTGAGCATTTGTGTTTGAAGTAAAAAGAGACGATTCTGTTGTGTTTTTTGTTGTTGGAAAAGGCTAGCTTATACTTTTGATTCAGTAAATTCGTTCTTTATTTTAGAATCACAGTGCTTCTGCTTAGCATATTACAATACTTTTGATATTGTTACTATTCCCACTACTCTGGCATTTGTCGTGGTACCTTCATCTCACTATGTTGATATAATATGACGACTTTAAGCGATGCATATACATGCGAGATCCTACGTTGTTGATTATTAGATTTGACTGATAGAAATAAATCTATAAGATTTATGTATTGATGGTATGAGAATATAGTGAAAAAGTCAATTTTTCAGATATTTATAAGCGGTTATACTACATCAAACGACCAATTTTTTTTAAATAAATACTTATAAATAATTATTGAAATTATTTTCAATAAGTTGTAATTTAGTGTCTATCGATATCTGATCCCGCTTAAACAGCCATTGAAAACCAGGAAACAAAAGACAAAAGGGATACCTAAACAGTGTGCAACCATGCCAGTCAGTCACAACGTAGAACCTGGTACGTATATATATTGGTTCAAGTTAGTATTCTTAAGTAAGGGTAAAACACATAACAATAACGTCTGTCAAACAACAATGGGAAATATCGAATCAACAATCTTATTTAAGCGAAAATAATAGAGATTATGAAATTAATTGATAGTTTTTTAATTCTCAAAGTTAAATCATGCCTCGCATCGCAGAATAGTCCTATTCATACAACTGTCTTTTGTTGGTGTTGTTATGGTCTATATTTCAGGACCACTATTCAAAGGTTGCCTAGAACTTTAAATATAATTATCAAGATTAAACGATCTACCATTTCCGTGTTTTATGTATATGAGTTAAGAAATTGAAAGAACATAAAATCACAGTAAAATAGTTTTTCCAGTTTCGATTTATTTGAACGCATCTGTATTTCGAATGGTTCAGTACGGCCGAGGGTGTATAGAGACTAAGCCCCTCTCGAACTACTATCTTACGGCCACGTGTTTAAAACCAATATAAAGGAAGTCCTGCTCATTGGCTTCCGGTAGAAAGGATGTCGTAAACTAAAGTTAAAGAAAAACCGTACGTCAGGAATCCGAACTGAGTTGGTCACTGCCGAGGATGAACCTAAGAGAATCGGGAAACTTTGGTTTCAAACAAATGGTACACATAGGCTCTGTGACCATGAGAAGTTTAACGGCTTACGAATTATATTTGGTGACCGGTTATCATGTAATCGGATGCCCTGACGTTGTTCCACTGTTTTTAGGAGTAGACAGTAAGCAAAATAAAAACAAACAACGAAGTTGATGTTTTTCGTGCTTATTATACTCAAGCAGATTATTTTGATTTCTGTAGACAAACCTTAATGATAATCTAAAACTGGGGAAAATTGATCATTTTTGGGAGATATTCAGCAAATATGTACTGAATTTCGAAGTACATTTTTTTGTACGCGAAAAAACTGATGGCTGTAAACAGTTGTTCAGACGGAAGTTAACGACGCAAGAGGATTCGAACCTACGACTTTATGGTTATAAATCAAGTGTTTTAAATAATAAACTACCATTATATATTGTCCGAGGGTAAGATATTTGTTTCGTTTATAGACATTTTGAAGAAAGTTTAAGTATTGAGAGTATCCCAATTTCTGTCCAATAAAGGAATAGTTGAATATATATTCAAAACATATTGATCTAAACAACCTAACTTATATATGTGATAGATTTAGTTTAAAGGCACATGATCATGCTATTTTCATTCGATACAATAATAAATCTTAAGTGTAATTATTATTATTTTTATTTCCTAAAGCATTCTTCATCGTGGATGTAGGTCAGTTAAGATTTATACATGAGATAGGATTCAACAAATAACTTATTTTAGATTTCAAAAAATCAACAAATCAGCCAAGTAAACATTAACCAAACAATAAAAAAAGAATTCGTCTTTTACTGATGAAAAAACTAATAAGTGATAGCATCAGAAAACAAAGTTGAACAAAAACAAAGATTCCACAAATATTAATTTGTAACTATGTATTGAAAAAATGGTCTAAGTTGAGTCAATATAATAGTGATGAGGTTCTTTGAACATACATATACATTTCTGTCAAATCCCCGGCTGACTATAAGTGACTGTGTAACAGACAAGAATTTTTTTTAGGTAAAATAATGTATTCAATCTAATTGTGCTAAATAAAATACAGTTTCATATAAAAAATACTTTAAAATGTAATCAAAGCATAAAAATCCTTCTTAATGTTATGCAGTTATCTTACATAACGCAGTTTACATTGGGGACTGATTCTAGTCAGATAATCACAGAAAACCAGCAATCATTGTAAAGCTGTTTTGTCCTAGCAAGGGCTCATCAACAGTGGGCATCTACGACTCATTTGCAGACTTGACCCAACATATTCAAGTCATGTAGCGAGCGCTTAAACTTTAGACTATTTCGCTGGTATTCAATCATTTACATGCCTAACTTTAAACGATTAGAGAAGTCGTCCAATTATCGACCAATGTCATTAGTGGATAATCCCTTATACCAGTGATGTAAACTCTGAAATTCAAAATTCTCCACAAATTCCCTACGATAATATAAATATATTATTTGAAGCAAAACGTAACATAAAGGCAATTTACCAGTATCTAACTTACCGACGAAATCCTATTGAATAAACAAGTGAACGAAATGATAATAAAGTTTTAAATGCAGATTTTGTCGATAATAAAGATGGTGCATAAATACCTGGTAACTAAAAATAAATCAAAATGTTGGAAAAGTGTCAAGCTTGGTTAACTGTTGGTTAATTTGCCATGTGAAATAAAAATTGTGGATAATTGAAGCAATTAAAATTAATCTGAGAATTGCTTATTTTTAAAGAAAAAGGAATACATTTTTGAAAAAGAGATAAGTTACATCATTTAGAAACATCAGTCAATATAGTAATGAATTCTGCTTGCTGATAGCGTAGCTGTAAATATTTGAAACAGTTATGTTTAACAGATCATTTAGTAAAATAAGATATAGTTGATGATGAGCATAGGAAAGAAACCGATAGTATAAATGAATTATACCAAATAGTCTTTGAAAAAACCACTAAAAATCGTTCTAACTTCAGCTGGCAACATGCAAATAAACACTTTTAGGATATGGGAAAGACACCAGTGAATAAAAAAACGCGACAATGGTCACCAGTTAAGGTCAATCAATGTAAATATCAGTTCTACATGCGGTCAGTGATGATATCTTAAACTGAGAAGCTGGATGACCAAGAGCATTAATATTCTGAAGGTTTAGAAGACGTCTTGCTGAAGAGTGACAACTGGCATGGAAGTCCAGGTTCTACTGTCAACTACTTTAAACCACTTAACATCAAAGGCGAGTATTACCAAATATTTACAATATTTCTCATAAACAGAACTATCAGAACAATCAAGGGTTTCATTGTAGAGTCTAAAGAAATTTCAGGGATAAATAATCAGAAATAAGCCTGTAAACTTGTGACATCCATTGTTGATTATATATTAAAACACAACACTGTTAAGTACCAATGCAATAAATGACTGATAAAGAAGGCTAGTACAGATCACAATTCTTTCTCAAAAGTGGTCTCATGGGTGTTTTGTACGATTCGTTAGCAGTATTCACTATAAAGTTAATGAACGATTCTATTGACGAATGATTACTATTTGCAGATAAATTTTACAAATTTCTGCTAAGTAATGTGAATTTGCACAGCCAATCATTTGAAAAGTAAGATAATTACTTATGAATGATGTTGGATGACTAATGTACAACAACACAAATCAGTAGGAAGTAAATGAATAGTCTAGATCATTTTAAAGATACTACACTTACTGTGAGATTTGTAAATACTACATTTAATCTAATATGAGGAAGAAAGTTCACATTTCTAAGGAATTTCAAACTAGAACAAAACAATGAATGTGAATTGACGGATTGATGAAACCTTTATTCCGTTACATCGTTGAGTATTCTAACAATAACGTTTTTTTTTAAAATAAAGTAATGTATAATTCATGTCCATCTATATTTAACTAGTAGTCAAACATGTAGAACATAGACAAATTAATATATTTGCAATATCCCAATGAGTAGAAAAATTAAATTTTATGACATTTCGTGACTCAGTTTATGTCACTTGTTCAAAGAGTACATAATTCGTTTATTTGTTCTCCGAAGAAGTGTCTTACACTAAGTTACGAAACGTCAGAAAATCTAATTTTTCTACTCATTGGGACAATACATATATATTAATTTATTCATAACAATCTACTCAATGCTTAATTTATTCGTAATTATCAAGTCAAACCATAATAATGATACCTATTTAGAGCATAGTTAATTAATTCAGTGAAACTATATTATATTTTATTAAGTATTGAAGGACAGAGAAAAAAACAAAAATGTATAACTTATTACTTACTTCAATTTTTAATTTTCTAAGAAATTCAAACAAACCATTATTTAATTTTAAACGTTGATTAAGACTTAAACAAGGTTGAATTGAATATTGAATATTTGAATTTAATCCTGTTTGATTAATTAAATTCTTTAATGATAATAAATGATAATTAGCATTAATAACTAAACGAAAACCTTTTCCAAAAGGTTTCATAGATAAACGTCCAATACTATATGTTAATATATAAGTTTTATTAATAGTTTCATTGGAATAAATTAATGACATTGAATTATTATTAATTTTATTTTGAATTATATTATTCTTAATTAAATCTAAATTAAAATCGAGAAAAAAATAAAGAAATTGAACAATTGATTGATATGTAGAAAAAAGTGAATACTTGAATGAGAATTAAATTTTAAAAGGTATATTTTAATGTATATCAACCGACTGGATTAAAAGTTATTCAAGATTCTAATGGCAGGTCGCTCCCAAATGCCCTGGTATGGCCGATAGTGGAGAGAGTTAGCTCTCCATCTCGAAATGTTCTCAAATGGACACGCGTATATAATCTCTGCCAGGGAAGTCCTACTCATTGCCTTCTCGTGGAGGGGGGTTTTGTTTATGAAATTGAGAGGACGAAAAGCGAATTGCCGGCTTTTTAACCAGGTTGGTGGACATGGAGAGTCCACCTAGGGGAGTTGGAAAACCCTGGTTCCAAATCAATGGTGCACATGGGCTCCAGTATCCTGAAAGAACAAATGCCGTATGAACCAATCTTTGGTCACCGGCTTCCATGATAATGCATCTCCTTACGTTGCTCCATTGCCTTATGGATCAGACTTTCAGGTCGAAAGCTCCAGGTGTGGCCCCCTAAGAAAACCACTTGCTTCGGTTTGGGCACCCGGGAAGTATCATAGCCCTCACATATATCAAATGAGATCTGTGTGGCGCATATGTATTTGGTGCCTCCTTGCACCAATATTTATGTGTTAAAATAAATATATAAATGGTAGGTCTAAACTATATCCTTTAGATTTATGTCCAGTTATTTATTAGGATTTATTAGAATGGGGGTTTGTGAAGATTGTAGTGATTTTAATAGTTGAATTTATGAATAGACTTAAACTAGATCTTAATTGAAAATCTGGAAGCATTGGATGGCTGTTTGGTCGTAGTATGGGACTCCTCAGAAGTGCGCATCCACGATCTCGAACCTAGGAACTTCGATCTTGTGCGCGAACGTCTAACCTCTAAACCACTGAGCCGGCATCTAGCAGTGTTAATGTCTAACTTCAATCTATCTATGATCTTGCGCTACTAAGAAGCCCCATACTGGGATGAAACGGCCATCCATTGTTTCCAGGTTTTTAATGGTGATCTAGATTGGATTGACTCATGAATTCAACCATTAAAATATCAGAATTTACTTGAAAATTTCTCTCCTTTTTTGATACAATACAATTCTTGGATTTTTTTTCTCAGCTATTTACAATCTAAAATTCGAATCTTATTCATCAAAACATAAATGGATATTTTTCATAAACTTTAATAATACGAATTCTTACTCTTGAACTTTAATTAACTAGTCTGTATTACATAATTAATGTTTGGTTTCGAGAGAAATTTATTTTTCTGTTTCCATGGCCTTCTAGAATATTCACATATTTAAGTCGAAAAATAAACAAATGTTTGAAGAGTAATAATACTTCAGTATTATTGTGATAATAGATATTATTCCATTTCCGTATATTAACTGAAGTTATTCTAAAAGATCCTGACATTTGTTACGTTTTAATAAATAGTAATAACGCTTTAATGTGTAAATAGCTGAGAACAATCCACGAAGTCAATGAATTCATGTTGTTCTACTATGATATTTGTTTTTTTTTAAAATTTGATATTATAAACGTCGAAAATTGTATGAAATTATCATCATACTTTACTTAGGTAGATGAGTGAATTGCAAAGATTGTATTAATGCGGAGAAGGTTTTCATTATGGGTATATGTATATTAGTAAAATATTATCTCATGAAGTTTAACAACATAGTAAGTGATACAGTCATCATTGTTGTATTCAAACAACAGTCAAGCTTCACTAGGAACTGATTGAAATATTAATTAGTAAATTACAACTCAGTTATTTATTACTGTCAATAAGATCACCACAAGAGACTTAAATATATTGAGTTTAATACTTAGCAGTGATATGTATGTACTGTGTTAAGATGTCTCCAATTACAACGAAATTACTAACTAGCATTCTTTACTTTTCATTAGCTTGATTCATGATGAAAACTGCTTAAAAAATTTTATCGTTTACTGTAACATATTAATTACTAACTAACTTAAAGGTAAATCAAAATGAATTAGAAAAAAATTATTACTTACCAGTGATAAAATCAGTACTCAACTTTTTCCAACTTTCATGTGTGAAATAAGCTACTGTCGGCACAACAGTATTAAATTCACACCATCGAAAATATTTCTTAATAATAATATTGATTATGATTAAGCAAAAAAGAAATATTATGCCTTACTTTCAAGTAAAAGACAACTAAACCACTTAATAAAGTGTATACAAGCGAATAAAAATAAGGTCGCCATATTGAAGATCTATCATCAGGCACCTAATAATGACAGAAAAAGTAAACGTGTTTGTAATATATATATGTATAAATTATAAAAAGGTAAAAATATTTATTTGACTCAATCAAAATGAAATTTATATCTTGTCATAGAATCTTGTGTAGACAATTATTTATAAATACTCGTACCTTCTTGATGATGGCCGTAGTAGTTCTCCACGTTTCAGCTCCGTACAGTAGAACTATCTGGACGTTCGTATTGAAGATTCTGACTTTGATGTTGGCTTGCAGACAGTTGTTTTCAGTTCCATATGTTCTTCAACTGTATGAATGCGACCCTTGTTTTGCCGACCTTCACCTTTACGTCTGCATCCGATCCTCCTTGTTCATCAATGATGCTGCTATCAAGATATGTGAAAGATCCCGCATGTTCCAGGGTTTTTCCATCAAGTGTGATTGAGTTGGTGTTCTCCGTGTTGTATTTGAGGATTTTGGTTGTTCCTTTCTGTATGTTAACACCTACCATCATAGAGGCTGCTGCTACATTAGTTGTCTTCATCTGCAATTGTTCGTGTGTATGGGATAGAAGAGCCAGATCATCCGCGAAGTCCAAATCGAATAGTTGAGTCCAAGCTGTCCATTGTATTCCGTACCATCTTTGAGATGTGGAAGTCTTCTTAATCCAGCCAACCATCAGAAGAAAAAGAAATGGGGAGAATAAGCAGCCTTGTATGACCCCGATCCTCATTTGGAATGTGTCTGTCGGCTATCTTCCATACAAGGCCTTGCAGTGTATTTCATCGTATGGATTCCAGATGATGTTGACGATCTTCTCCGGTACACTATAGTGTCGAAGAAGTTTCCAGAAGGTTTTCTTGTCCACACTGTAAAACGCCTTCACATAGTCAAGGGAGTTAATCTATAGTGATTGCTCAATGATGGTCTGTAATGTCGCTATTTGGTTTGTGCACAACCGATCGTTACGGAATCCGGTCTGTTGATCTCGCAGTTCAACGTCTACTGAATATTTCATCCGGTTCAGAAACACTATGCTTAAAACTTCTCCTGGTACTGGTAGTAGTGTGATGTCTTTGTAGTTCTCACATTTGCTCAGATCTCCTTTCTTTTTCTTGATGAACTGTCCTTTTTCCCAGTCCGTCGGCACTTGCTCTTCCTTCCAAAGCTTACTGAACAGAACGTGAAGCATGCTTGCAGTTACTTCAATGTCTGACTTTAGAGCTTCGGCTGGTATATTATCAGGTCCTGTTGCTTTCTCACTCTTGATTTGTCTGATGATCATGATGACATCTTCGATATACAGTTGATTAACGAAAGTTTATTAACGTATTGGTTTTATTTATTATTTAACAACAAATATTTATGTCTAATGAAAGTGGAAATTAGATAAAAGACTTTATTTCTTTCATCTCGAATTAGCTGAATAATGGTGTGTACTAATATTATAACTAAAGAATACTAAGTACAGATTTGTTTATTGAATTACTAATTAAACCAATGTTAAACCATTAGGTAAAGAGGAGTACTTGAGGGTTTTAATTGGTGTAGAAGTGTATTATTTGAAAATGAAAAATTAATTTAAAAAATTAAACTGAGTTTATACCATTCCAAGGTAATTGAATAGAAGTTGAAAAAGTACATGATGATGATGGAAATAAATTACGGTTTCTAATAAAAATACACATAGTGAAACAAAAATAAACTTATTGAATTAATTGTTAATAAAAGTCTCTGTGTTATAGGGAATAAGCAGAAATAAGAAACGATATTGTATAATATGAAATTGGAGAACTAACCGAAATGATCAATATACTGAACATGCTAGTTTAAAATGTTTAAAAAAACAACAACAATAGAATACTTATCTATAGAAATGATTACTAACCAGTGAACATTTGAAACTCAGTGTACGGAAGCCTATATCAACATGTATCATCGAAAAATTCTTCCAACAAACCTATTTGCTGACTAGATTTATAATATTTCCTTTCTTTCTTAAGCTTCAAATGATCATGGATATCAATATATCAAGAAAAGTAGATGAAAGAAATCTTGATTGATTTGGATAGTGGATGGTACTGAAATCCAGGACGAGTGTCTTAACCAGTTTACGACATATCAGCTAGATATACTTTCATACCAGTGCTGCTGTGTAGACTAAGACTGGAAACAAGTACCATTTACTTCAAATGTCGAAGCTTTATCTACTAAGCTACTGAGTTCAGATAACTGATAATTTATTGACCAGGTATTATTTTTACTAGTAAAGTCTTGTATAGCTTCATTATCGAAACTAAAATGTGTAAAAAAGGCAGTATCGAAGTATCTGTCCAAGATGCATATATATTCCAACAATAGTCATGAATGTAAACCACAGGATAATGCAAATCTTCACGAATTAATACATCCATAGTATAGGATACAAATTAAAAAGAGTGATTTCAAAGTACAAAAATTAAAACTGAACAACGTACTTTAAATGAGTGATAAATAGAGGATAGTCGAATGCCGCAACCATATTGCATGCTAATAAAATGCTTCAAATGTATTAGAAATAAATGAATGTTAAAGAAATAGTGAATATACTTCAGGAAAATCATATGATATATGATTTAGGACATTATATATTTCTCTGAAAGTAAACTTAATTAGATAGAAGAAAACGACTGAAAATAATTGATACTCACTTGGTATTTTCTGAGTTCTACTTGATGATTCAACTTTTAGTTACTATTATACGCAATGTAAAACAGCACATTCATATAATAATTTAAGATATATGGCCAAAGGTTAGAGACTGATATTTATTGGATTAAAGTTATATAATTCAAAAGTAACACATTCAATTAGAAACAAATCTGTCTTGAGGTTGAACCTCATAGAAACATTAATCATTTAAGTTCCAAAAAAATACGTTATGACGATAAAACTAAATTAATAGAGGCTTTTCTATTAATAGTTTCTCAATGGTGATGAATCTCAACACAAAAATTTTAATCAAAACTTTATAACCTATAGATTATCAGATAACAAAATAATTTTTCAACAGTACAAATAAAAGTTAAAAAACAAACAATAAAATTGTATATTAAAATAAAAATATGATTTTATAATATCAGGTTAGCAACAGTTAATTAATTGAAGGGCCGCATTCCTACAATTGAAGAACATATAGAACTCAAAACAACTTTCAACCAATATCAAAGTCACAATCTTCAATACGAACGTCAAGGCAGTTCTATTGTACGGAGATGAAACTTGGAAAACTACTACAGCCATCATCAAGAAGGTACAAGTATTTATAAATAGCTGTCTACGGAAGATAATCAACATCAATTGGCCGAATACCATCAGCAAGAGCCTTTTGTGGCAGAGAACAAACCAGATTCCAACTGAAGAGGAAATTAAGAAAAGACGATGGAAATGGATAGGACATACATTACGCAAATCACCAAACTACATCACGAGGCAAGCCTTAACTTGGAATCCTGAATTAAAGCGGAAAAGAGAAAGGCCAAAGAACACATCACGTCGGGAAATAGAAGCAGACATAAAAAGGATGAATAACAACTGAAAAGAGCTGGAAAGGATTGCCCAAGACATGGTTAGATGAAGAATGCTGGTGAGCGGCCTATGCTCCTTCACAAGGAGTAACAGGCATAAGTAAGTAAGCAAGTAACAGTTAATCAAAGAATATAAACAATCAATAATATTTACAAATTAATTAATTTTTATTCAAATGATCAATTTATATAAAAAGGATATATTTTAAAAATATATTGAAATTATGATTAGAATAGAAAGCATCTTTAAAACAATCCATATATTTTTGTAATATATTAAAAATCTAAAATAATCATAAAATATAAAATGGATTTTATTGACAATAAATGAACTTATCTTACATAACGATGATTAATTGATTTATTGGATATCGATTTGAAATGTTTACATCTATAATTTTCAATAATAATAATAATAATAATAATAATAATAATAATAATTATTATTATTATTATTATGAGTGTCATTATTAATTAAAACATACTTTACAGATAATTTCATCATTTCTTTCAATTGTTCAATATTGATCTCTGATAAAATCAATTGTATGTAAACATTGTACATATTGGCAAACTTTTTTAATGAATTATAGAATAACTGCACAAAGTTTAAATCTATCAGATGAAACACATTATTAAATGAATAATATAATGAAACCTTTTGGAATTGACCGGTCACGATAGCATAACATCATCATCACTGTTGTAAAAAATGTATTCGGTATACCATACAAATGTACTTTAGAATGAATTTCACAAATGTAGATGAAAGCTATTTGATGGAAAGAGAATGTAGAAAAGAAAACATCAGTTACGTAATAAAACCATTGTGAGATTTAATACATATGAATATAGAGAAGTTTATGAATTGAAAAACATTTGGCAAAAGTAGTATCTTCAAAGTGAAAAATCATATACTGTGGTATTACAATAATTTTTCGTATCTTCATTTTGAATATTTTTTCAGTAACAATAATGAGATCGAACGCCTGACATGAAAGATTGAATCGACTAGTTATTTATAAATAAATAAAAACTCTCCGAAATACTAAGTGTAATGCTTGCTAAATAACCTGAAGATCAAAGATTTGATCTTGTATGAGGCTGTGGGTACGTACTGTTAAAAATAATCCGATCTGTGACAAAACAACTTTTTGGTACTCTTCCAGCTGTTATCACTTTTTGTTTAAAATTTGAAATTTTGATTCATTTCAGGAGTTCCAAATGAAGAATATGGTTTGTGGATTCAATTAAGTTGTAAAGATAGATAGTTATTCATTTTAAAAGAAACAATCAAGAATGATCATAGCGTACCACAAATCTCAGTGTAATTTGACTGAAATCAAGCAAATGCTAACACATGTACATACATATTTTGTTCAAAAACTCATATATCCACTATGCCGTATGTAGAATAAAATTATGCGAGTCACTTATTATCTGATATCAGTAGAAACAGTATTCACCTTGCTATCAACGTTAAGAATTAATTACCAAAGTTGTGAAAGAGATTATTGTCCATACACGTTTCATCTTACATTCAAATTTGATGTAATACATTACAAATACAAAAGTCACACAGAAAGTCAATATAAATGTTGAATTTCCGTAAAATCAAAGCAGAATTATAATATTTGATCTCATACGGTGACTAAATATCTTACAATCATTTATCTATTCCAGTTGATGAAGGCTATCCATCTTTGTTTCCATATAATCTTTATCGTGTTGCAGCAGTATAGTGAATGGCAAACACTCAATCAGTGTCGAATTATTATTTTAAAGACCATAATAACTCTTTTGCTTCCAGTCACTACCCACAATATCACAACTGTAGATATAATAACAGCACGAGTATCAAACCAACTGGCTGGTTTGTTTTTTAAAAAAGCAACATGAAAACACTACTCCAAGTACTTATTTTCATGTTCCAATAATTTATAAGATGGATACATCACTAAACCATCGTGAGTCAAAAAAGGTTATCCTTACGAATAAAACAATAATTCAAAAGTCGATTGCTCCATTGAAAATTGACTATCATAATCTCAACACATAAAACTATGCAGAGTATTTGTAATATGACGTTGAGCAATCAATCGTAATAAGGAACAACTAATCTATAAACATCTCAATAATTGAAAAATATCATTCAGAAATGCTCTGATGTCTTAACTTCTATATAAATATGCTGCCAACTAAGATTATTGGATGAATTTAAGCGGTAAGTGGTTGAAAAGATTAAAATCCAAAGCAATAAGAAATTAAACAGTTTACTAAAACTATATCAGTCAGTATGTATGCTCTTTCCGTTAACAACTAGTGCAAGTGCTCAACGTTTATATATATATATATATATATATATATATATATATATATATATATATATATATATATATATATCATTAAAGGTCATGTTCAAATCACTAGATGAAAACATAATGTATTTTTCCGATAACTAGACACAGAAGCTTTTCGGTTAGAAGTTAATAGTTCAGCTTAACACTGATAACTCGCAAACACAATATTTGAACAGTATCTTGTGCGCAAAACCTAATACTATTTAACTAAAACAGGCGAATGAATAGTTTCATGAAATTTAATGATGTTCAACAAATGATCGAAACTACTTATTACTACTGAATTTTAAACCACAAAATTTGTGCTCTCCAGAAATTAAATTTATAGTGGATAATTTTAATTTGAAATTTATTATTTAGGAAAAAATCGAAAGTTAGCATCAATATCTGCATTAAAAAATGTATTTCATGGCATCTGAAAAAAGCTTTTATGTTTGTTAGTATTATGGCACAGTAGAAAGGTATATATATGACAACTTATTTATTCAGGCGAAGTTTGATACACTTGACTTTTAAAATAAACTTTTGCATGAGAAACAGTGCTACTCCACAAAGTAGCTGAGATTCAAGCCTACAACTTAGTGCTAAAGCTTTTATATATATTTATCAATATTCTAACCAGTCATTTCGCATTATTCTTAAAAAATGACATGCCGAAAGAACACTTTGTATAAATTAAAGCAATCCTAATTCAGAAAATTATAAAAACTCCAAGTACACTTCAAAATAACGAAAACTTAAATATATCAACGTCAATTCTTTCAAAATGTTTTTTTCGCATATTTTGATTATGTATTCGATAACTCTGTGAACAAAACAGTGAAAAATCAATATTAATGACAACTTTCCAATAGTTTAAAACTACTGATTTTCGAAAAAGATAGATTATGATAAACAGTAAAAATTCAAGAAGAACATTTCTTCCGACTTGGGACTCGATATCTAGATGTAAGTGTATTCTCGTACTGATATTTACATTGAGGCTTGAACCTACTATCTTGTTTTATAAAACATAAACGCCAATAACGAGATAATGAAAACGATTAGTAATGATGACCTATACTGATTTTGATTTGTCAAAGTGAGGAATATCTAAAGCTTTTATTTGAGTAGTAGACAAGTTAATATTTAGGTGCTGATTAACCGACTAGTGTATAAGATTCAGCATTTACTATTATATATGAATTAAAATCAATAAAACAGTGATTACAGTAAAAAGAAATTAATTTTTCTAGAAAAAAAACGTTTTATTTCTTCTAACAATAATTTTATGAATAAACACAATGATTCACAAATGAATAAATTGGAGTAAAATGGTTATTTCGCTCAACAAATTAAAATATGTAAATGACAAAAAATGAAACAGGGTTGTTTATAAACATGAAAACAACTCCTTGTTATGTAATAAACGTGCATAATCGCTGACTTGTTTGTACACATACAAAGAAAAGAGAAAAATTGAAGAGAACAGCTGCCTTACAAACATACAAAACTCTCATGTCTTTGTTGTGATTGATTTCAATTGGCATTTTATTTTTCTTAAACCAGATTTCATTCGAACAATAATAATAAACAACAGAGAATCTCATTGAAGTGTTCAATGTTTTATATTTGACGCACATGATAAAAGAAACAAAACTAAAGAAAAATAAATAGATACAGGAAGAGATGAGAAGGAGGAAAAGAAGAAGAAAGACCAATGCAGATGTTATGAAAACGAAACAAACAAACAACAACAACGACAACAACACAGGGAGACAACTAAATTTGACTAAAATTAAACATTATCAAGAAAATGGATGAAAAAAATTTCAAAATAAATTATACGTTAAATTAGTGTAATACATAAAAAATTTAAGTAAATTATTGATGATCAGGTTAGCCAGCAAGTACATTAGTTCAGTTGCTATCACTACTACTGCTATTGATACTAGTAACATTGCACATACTACTATATATTAATAGTAGTAAAAGTACTTCATAATTGGAATGTTTTGTTTTTTCTCATTCATATATACCATCAATTTTATTGCACATCCAAGTCAGTAACAGAAAGTAGGAATTTCACATTAATCCAGAAAAAAAAATGAAAAAAGTCTATGTAAAGGAAACTAATGTATCCCTAATGTATCTTAAATAAACAAGTACAAAGTAAACCGATTATAATAAACATAGTTCCAACAAGAATTATATCACATTAAAATAAAAATGAGCAAACACAGAGGAAGAAAAAGAAAAGTAGTAAAAAGATTCTTAATTAAAAATAAAACTTTAACAAATTTACAAATAACATTGAAAACGAACAACAAGTGTGAATAATTAACGCCAACACATCCAATACTAAGAATATGATTTTATACTAATACATTTCCTGTATGAATCTATCTATATATGTATATATAAATGAAAAGTAGTCGGTTAGTCATAAATTTACCATAGTTGAAGTTGACAAGTATATGAACAAACCAAAAATGCAACACAGAAACACTTGATAATACCCTGTAACATGGCAACTATGTCAATAAGGTAGCTAGTGACAACATTCATATATATATTTACCATTGTTTTGGTTTCATTGTTTCCATTTTTTTATTTCATAAACTCAAAGTAACGATCACGCATACATACATCATACACACACTGTGAATTCACATAATAAAAACAAACTCTCTGTATACAACAGAAGTAACACTGCCATGAATAAATGCATTTAAAGAACGGAAGAAAACAGTAAGGAACAATGGATAAATAAATAGATGGACCGAAAAGAACATAGAGGTATGATGAAACTGAGTAATTATTCACAATGAAATTCAAAGAGCAATACACAGAAGGGAGGAAACAAACAAACAAGATACTAAGAAAGAATCAAAATCTTATACTTCAACAATAAATTCCGGATTAACAAAAGAGAATCCACTAAACTCTGTTTGAGTTAAATTCATAACAAATAATTTATCAGTTGGTGATAATTCCGGAGTGACTTTTGTAAATTCACTATCGAAATTACTTGTATCACGTGGTGATAACTAGAAAACAAAAAGATTACATGGAAAATATTAATTCAAAGTAAGTCATTATAAACAAATTTAGACTGATTAACTTAAGTTTACGCAACACAAACCCTTACGCTCATAATGATAATTTTCTCACTAGTGACTAATTTTGCAAATAATTTACGCATTTCTAGTGATAACCTATGGCTAACGGTGTTTCACTCTAAGACATTTATCTATCGAAGACAATGCTAAGCGATTTTACGGTATCTCAAATTGATCAAGAATCCCAACCATTAGATGCAAGCACAGTGGTTGAACGCTCGTCGCAGGGTCTGAAGGTTCTCAGTTTAATTCCTGGTCAGATAGTGGATATGGACAGTCGAGGAGTTTCACACGAGGATGAAACAACTGTCTAGTGCTTCCTGACTTTCAATGACTATTTAACTATGATCATTTCGTGATATAAAATATGAAAAACGAAACATAAACGAGTAGCTGAGCAATTAGTTTACTTCACGAGTGTGGTTTAATAAGTTGATCAGTGGTGTTAAGTTAAACTAAATGCTGATAATATATTGAACTGAATTAAGTTGAAGGAGAGAATGATTATCTGAATTCTAGTTCAGTTGAATTCTAATTGTATTTCAGTGACTTCATGAGATCTGTGATATATAATCCCTTCAGTTTTTATAATATCTGAATAACATAAAACAATCTGTCAATTTATTTGTAACTGAAACTAATTTTGAAATAAGTGACGATTACACTGAATATGTCTATCATAGATTATCTCTTCTCATCACATGGTCAATTTCACTTTCACTGATAGGATGAAATACGAAATTAGTGTAGATATATGACTAGCCAACAACAATGATGTTATCTAATTGGTATAAGGGGTTAACTAAAAAATGTTTATCACTTTAAGCTGATTATAGTTAAACAACAGAGTTTAATGTTTGAATCAATTACATGTCGACTGTTTGATTAATTAATGACCAAAGTAAGGTTACTGAATTTTATTTGAAAGAGACAATCTACTGCAAAGAACAATATGCCTTATAATAAACAGAATATTGAAATCTTTTATCATTACTGCCAGGACCGAAGAAATAGTGGATTGTAGTTTGATTGAAATGTTGAAAAAAAAGACTACACACAAAAAGAAAATTCCAGCGATACATAATAATTTTATATGTACTTTAATTATTGTAACATTGAGAAACATAAGGAGATATTTCCATAACAATCTTCTTAATTATATTAATGGAGTTACATTCTCTGAGCATGATAGTTTAGTCATGAAACTTTCATGAATTTTTGTTTGGACAACTTCAAAAGCAAACTTTTAATTTTTCACTGTTAGCATATGTATTATGATTGCCTTTTCCTATGACCTGACTTATGTATTCTATAACTATTTGTGATTTGTTTTTCTATTTCTTTAATAAATTAAATTGATGTTGATATAAGTGTATATTAGTTTGAAATTAAGGTCAGGTAATTTTCTGATCATGTCAAATTAGTTTAAAAGCTAGTGAGAACCAAAATCCTTTAATGGATGGCTGTTTTTTCATAAGTTAAGATTTTATCTACAATAGAATATTATACATTAAGTCGAAATTAAGATTAGGAATTCTTATGATGAGCATAATATTTTCCGACCACGAGTTTGTAATCTAACATTTCGACATTTAGTATTTCACCGAATTTGTAATCTAATATGGTCTAAATCCAATCACACCTGGCAAGTGATTGTCTCAATAATGACTCAGCTGACTTTGCAAGTGATCATTTGTTCTTAATAATTTGTCGAAATATTCATTTTCAAAATTGTCATAAATCCATGGTGCTAAATATCTTTGGAGTAAAATGAAAGGGTTGTTCAGAGAAATTTTAGCATTTAACAGTTATCAAGTTCATCACACTACAATGAACATTATACCATAGTATATACTGAATGAGATAAA